TTACCTTAGCAACTGCAGGACCAGCAATATGCTCCTTCTGTGATAAGCTGTGAGCAGTGATGTTCTTTTGCCTTGAAAATTGCTCAAGGTCTGCACTGTGGTTCACCCACTGTGGAAACACTAAAGCCACTTATGGTGATGTCCTTGCTTCTGTGTGTCAAATTCTCTCCCACCCACTATTTCTTTGAGGCAGCACTTTTTTATCCTCAACACAAGCTGTGTGGAGCTTGAACTTGCTGCTCCTCATTTGTCATAAAAAGCTGTCAAAGGCAAGTGTGACCAGCTGCAATGATCAGTAACTTCCTTTTTCTCCACTATATATGTATATATATATATCTTGCTGCTGTGAGAAGAAAACCTTGTTTTTCAGTTTTTGACATAATTTAAAAATGCCTGTACTTTACTTTGTATGTAAATTTCATGAAGAATGGACAAAAAGAAACAGCCCAAAGTGACCGGGAAAAAGGCCTGGTTCCATTGATTTACTTTTTTCCTTCTTCTTTTACAATGAGTATATGTATATATATATATATATATATATATATATATATATACACACACACACACACACACACACACACACACACACAGAATGTCTCAAAAGTAAAGAAACACCCATACGACGTTGATCCAATTTTAGACCCAAGCTGGGGGAAACCTGTTAGGCCATGTCACCAACAGGGCGGCCATCTTAAATGCTGTCATTTTGAATTCAACTTCAGTTTTACAAATACGAAGGTAGGTGTGTGACACATCAAACTGGTAGAGAATTTCACTAGAAAAACAGTGGTGTGCATCATGTTAACACAACTTTATTCATTCTATATGTTTATGTTTTTTAATATTAAAAATGTGCAATATATGTGAGGTATTAAAATATATGTGCTATATATATTTAAATGTGCCAAACAGTGTATGCACATATATGTTATTATAATGAAAAATATGCACATATGTAAATGAAGTGTATGTAATAGTGTCAATTTTTAATACTTACGTATATGACAAAAATATATGCAAATATAATTCCTTTGCCCAGGGGTCTAGTTTACACTTTTAAAACTAATAGTGCCGAATAGGTTCTTTCATGGAAGAAAAATATATGTACATATATTTGCTCATATTTAAAATAGATGTGCAATAATGTGCAATACATCTGTTTTAACATATAAGTACATATATTTAAATCTGAAGTTTAAGTTTTAAATATATGCCAATATATGCAGAAATATGTCAATATACTGAAATACATTCACATATATAAACTGAATATGTGTAATCGTGTCAATATTTAATATTTACATATATGTCAAAAATAAAAAAGAATTAATTTGCACATGGGATTGGGGGAATGTCATAAAACCATTTTGGTTTCCTATAGAACCTTTCAATGGATGGTTCTTTATAGAAGTATTTTTTTCTTTACAGAAGAATTTTTGAGACATGCGAGTGTGAAGAACTCTTTTAAACTTTTAATGTAAAGGTTCTATAACATTTTTTTCCTAGAATCGTACGTCTAACCACTTAGGAACCTTTAGTCATTCTAAGCATGAAGCTATTCCATGGAAACAGAAGAAAGATCGCTGTGTACATTTTAAATAGGGTTTCTATTACTAGACTACAGATGAATTTCAGATGGGTTAAACAGCAGGGATTCTGCATGCAGAATGTAATGCTAGGTTTAATAAAAGTGCTGCCAAAAAGGTTTGACATTTTCCCACTAAAAATAAAAAGAAAGCGATTACTTTTAAAGAATCATCATATGTGGCTCTATCACAGTCTTCAGGCTTTTGATGCTCCTTTCTTTCCCATTATGAGTCTAAAAAGGCACGCTAATTATGCAGTAGCCAGCAAGCTACCCATTTCCCTTATCCTTTAGCAAGGGCTCAGAATTTATTATTGATTTTTTTTTTAATAGAGTGTCTTCCTGGCAGCTGCTAAGGGGTAATAATATCTCATTTTCAGCTGGTTCCCCAGCAGTTCTGGTCCCACCCAGGGAACACATTAGAGGAATGAAGACCATGTCCTGTCTCCTGTGGCTTTCAGTCAGACCACTCGTGGTCATTAATTAAGCAGCATCATGTGGACATGAAGCTAATCAACAATGTTTCTGTTTCTTTTTGATTCAAAAGAACTGTGAAAACAAGTTAAATAACACATAATTTACAGGGAACACAAGTAAATATGTCATAAACATAAAATGTAAAATGTGCCATAACTTTTGCACAGGCCACATTTTGTCCCACTATGTTTAATTCAGTAAATAAACAGTAATTGTGCAGTAAAATGTTCATAGGTGTTCTCAGTAGAGGGTGTTTACACTTTGAAAATCAACAAAAAGTAATTTGATCAGGGACACACAAAATTGCACAAGGCTGATAATGACTCTATAGTGAAACTAGCTCACACTGTAAAAATTGAGCAGTCACTTTGACTTAAAATTATAAAGTAACTGATTACACAGCTTTTAACACAACTTGGGGACACCAGAGTTCACCCAACTCAGACTTCTTAGTTTAACCAAAAGTTCTCAGAACTCTCATTTCTAGTTCTACATCTCGGTTAGATAAACAATATAGAACTCATGTTTTACTTAGTTTCCCCCATGACTCTTTTCCGTCACACAACCCCACCAGATATTTTCCTTCTTGGAGAAATATCTTCCAGATAAGGACAGCTGTGACAAACTCAAAATATCCCAATGCTGGGGTGAATTATTAATCAATTACACTTTATGTTGCCATCTACTTTACAAAGTTAATCCACTAAATATTTCCTATAGTGTATTAAACATTTATGAAAAAAAGAAATCTTAGTAACTTCAGGGACTCCTGAGAGGTGAAACAGACTAAGCCTTTATCCCAACAAGAGTTTGAAGCCCAGCAATGCCATAGCCCAGGGGTGTGCAACTCCAGTCCCGGAGGGCAGGTGTCCAGCACAGTTTTATGTTTGAGTGAACTCATCTTAAAAGTGAATCAAATCAAATTAAGATAGATAAAAACTGAAAAATATGAGTTTGAACTTCTGAATAACTTAAGTTTGAGTTGGGTGAGCTCTATTGTCCTTAAGATGAGTTGAGCTGACTTTGATTTGTTACTGTGTATTAGTGACCTTTCAATGCATACTGTACCTACCACAGAACTCTAAACCGCTCTAGTGGAGCCAGTCGTTCTTGCAAAGCACCAACATCTAATGACTGAAAACGAAATTGAAAATACAATCGTCTGGCCTTTTTGATATTTACACATTGCTCTTTCTATATTGTATGTGTCATGCAATAATTCATACCTCCAATGTTACTGCTATATGAATATGAATATGTTACAGAGGCATGAAAATGAGCATAATGAGCTTTAGAGCGCTTTAGTGGTATAACATTATAAGCTTATATTTATTGCACTAAATCATCAGACTGTGTATATAGCAGGTTTCCAGCACATATCTAAAAGTTATTATAGCAGTTATAACCTGAATATGAAATAAACTGATATTATATGAGACAGTGATGTGCACGGATGTTGGTGAGGGCAGGGGCTGAGGTGTTTGGTGGTAGCACTTCTGAAAGAGTTCATATCAAGATTTTTTTCAGTATATGAAGATACCATTATTAATAAAGGTATTCTAACGTTGTGGTATTCTCTATGCAGTGCATATTTCTTGCTGCAAGAACCAATAGACCTAATCCTAATACATACCCCATTAAATTATTACAGTGATGAATATTATTCAAACTCTTTATTTAATTGATAATAATCATGTTTAGATCATCAGTAAAGTGTATCATTATTACTATTATCCTGAAACAGACAGCTATGCACTCTACCTTTACCTTTTCCATCTTGGTTTTAAAAAATTTCCTACTGATATGTGACTTGATGATTAACCCCTTGAAATCCCAGTTTTATTATGTACTAAGGCCTATTACTCAGTAACTGCAGGGTCTTTAATGCAAAGTATAGCACTGGGGCTTGCTTCTCTGCTGTGAAATCATACACATGGTACAGTGACATATGGAGTAAAATTATTATTATTATTATTATTATTATTATTATTACTATTATTATTATTATTATACTATTCGCAGAAAAATCTTGCATTTATTTATCTGATGAGTTTAATGTCCCTAAAAGCTACCAGACAGAAAGCTATTACATGAAATGATTATGAACACACTGATGCCTGAGACATTGTTTTACATAAGATTGGAGATATAGATTTGGATCTATCAACACACATGCTGGCTGGAGACGTACATTCAGGGTGTTGTAATGCAAATTAATTCCCTATGAAAATGTACTTTTTTCAAATTTTACCATCATTAACCTTACATATACAAACTCAGGAGACGTATAGATTCACTGGTTGTTTTGGATAGTAAATAAATTACCTTCATTTGTAGTGTAGACATTGTGACCCCTGGTTCCTATCACCACCACTGTAAAGAAATCTTGTACAGCGTACCATTTCACATCAAAACACACTGACAGACTTTAGCTGTGTCAGAAACTGGGCCATGTTTTCTATACAGTTCAATTTGTGAACATCTCAACGGCTGAATTATGCAGAAATGTTGAAAAATCTATTGATTTAATTATTTTTGTTTTATTGCATTTATAGCAGCATTTTTTACTTTATTTCATTTAGTATATATTTTTTTTCATTTATGCATACAAAATGATGACTGATGACTGGGGTGGGTGGGGGGAGCCTCAAGTAGGATGTCACTTAGGCCCCTCTATCGTTCAGAAACGCCACCCATTAAGACATTTAGAGTTGGCCCATAGCTTGTTCTCCTCTCCAGAAGTCAGGTTTAATTGATAAACAGGTTGGACGAAGTTTGTCCTGGAGGCCACGGCCGTACAGTAGAGGAGCAGCGGGTAAGTGAAGGCTGCGCCCTAGTTTGTGTCCAACCAGAGAGTGTATAGGATCTGCTGGGGAGTGAAGAAAGCAGCAATGCGTAAACAAGCGCTGCAAACTCCTCCGCCCCTTTCACCCCCCGCCCCCCCAACACACACACATCTCCTCCATCGAAACCAGTTCCGTATTTCTGCTCTCCTACTTTCTCATGTGACAGCTAACTCGACCCCCCAAAAGCCCAGCCGAAAACACACCGCGCGCCACCATGAAGGAGCACTGCTGATTTTTACGAGGTAAGAAAAGGCTCTGAAAGTGGACGAGGCGATGCCGTGGCGTCTCGTTTTTCACACGGTGCCTTTCGGTGCTAAAGTTTCGAGTGGGCTGGGAGACCGTATCGTGTGTCGTAGATCAAGTTGCCGAGAGCATGTGTTGGTCCCGGAGCTACATGACAGGTTAGTGATAGTTAGCTGTTTAGTCAGCGTTTCCTTTCTCCCTCCGTCTCTTCGAGCGGCGCACAGATGCTAGCACGCCGTGCTTTAGAGGTTACATTTACGGTTCAGCACGCTGTTCGCTTCAGTGTAGCCAGTTTTCTAGCCAGGAGAGGCGGATGACAGCTTTCTACTGCAGACAAACAGGCGATGTTAATGCTTATAAAGAGCAGGAGGCTAGTAGATACACACGTCGTGTGTTGAACGGTGTAATGAGGACCCGTTTATGTCGTTTTTAGTGTCGTTGATAATGTGACATGTCTATTTCTCAGGCTTCAGCCCATTTTGGAGCGACTGCGGTCTTGTAATGGGCTATATAAACTTTAGCAAGCTTGTTTTTCTCGCCTAACTTTGAGCTCACCGTGCTAGACTGGCGTGCCATTGAGATTTCCCCCTGCAGTTAAAAATCTATTTTAAACATTGTTATTTCATATGCTAATGGAACAGCCTGCTCCATTTAACCAGCATTACATTTACGACACACCAAAACACTCAGAGGTTCAGGTTAAATATACTGGATATGCATTTTCTTCTCATTTTTTAACTGCAGGCTGTAAGGAACGTCAGTTAGTGGTTATTCAGTGAATGTCAGTCTGAGAGTAACATCAGTTTCGGTTTGAGAGAGAGGGGGCGGGGTCTAGGACCGGATGACGCAGCACGCACCTGTACGGCACAAAGTTTTTCCATTACATTTTCTATAGTTAGGAAAGACTGACGATCATAATTCTCGAAACAAGAAAGACTAACCTTCATATGTCTCTAGTTAAGATAAACTGATCATCTCTCCTAATATCTTTGGCCCCATTCAATGTCTAATGCCTCTAAATAAATGACTGATATCTTTTTTTCATGACTTTTCCCAATGTAATGGAGACAACTGGGTAAACATAAAATTAACATGATGATATGTTTTCAGTTTTAGTTGTTTTGGATGATGCCACTACAATATGCAAGTTTATAATCTTCAAACAACCTCTGTCTGCTTTAGGGCCCTAACCTAGCAGAACATAATTGGTGCAAGAACCAAGGTGCAAAATGCAGGGGGTCGCTGGGGGGGGCCAGGATTTCCTAATTAACCTCTTGGATCCCATCAATGTTTCAAATAGAGGCTCAAATACAAATTCAAGGAAAGGTCGGTGTTTAGCTGCTTTACCTACAATCGGCGAGCTTCTGTCTTTAGAATTCTTAACTAACTATAGATGCAGCACTGGTCTGCCTCAGTGTGGCACTTTAGCCAGAATACCTCAGAAAATCTTTACACCATACACCACAGTGTATTTGTAAATCTAAAAATTTGCCCAATTTCTGAATAGATTGGTAGAAAGAGTGAATTATGACTCATTTGTCAAACTGAAGACAAAACAGAAGATCTACATTAATGTGTGATAGAGCGCATTAACAAACAAGAAAAGAGCATTTTCGAAAAGAAGAATTGTTAAACCAAACATTTTGTTGCCATTGAAGCTAGCATCGAAGTGGCTATGGCGAGTTAGCAGCCAGCCAACGCTGGAGAAGCCAGCCAACATGGGACCTCATGAATACCAGGGGGTTTTTCACACACTGGTGAGAACCGCTGATAGTCCACATGACATGGGAGAGGGGAAAACATAATTCTCACCAGAACTTTGATATTTTCCGGAGGTTTCAATTACTGGGGTCAAACTGACCCCAAGGATAAAAGATGTTAGTAAATTTGAGGCTAACTGAAGGGTTAAATAATTATGTAGACCAAGAAAGGCCTATATGAGCATTAATACCACTGCTGACTTTTAATCTGCAGTGTTGCAGGGACACCTACAACATTAAATGCTTACAGTGTTGTATACTTTCAGTGTTGAATTAACATAGACTGTCAAAACTTTTGCCATGAACAGATTTGTAATTAATGAATTAATCATCTTCTGCAAAATTTAATAATGAAATAATTTATACCTACAGGGTTAAATCAAGTTCAGCTGGAGTTGTAAGAGTAAGAGAATAAGTAAGAGCAAATAAATGTGAATCCTGTTTTTAAGCACTGTTGTCTCTTTTTCCTCCACAGATACAAAGGGCTTCAGCAGAGGAGCACAATGTTGAAAACGCAGCACACATGATATTGTATTTTTTCATTCAACACAAAATGTTGAGCATGCCTGGAAGTAAAGGCAAGGCACACTCTGGCAGAGCAGTGCTTTGAGCCCTACCTCCAGCTGTTCACTCCATATATCTTCATCAGCCCCATACTCTCTCTCGCCGATATCCCTCCACCAGCCCTGCAGCAACAGGTGAAGATGACCACACAGAGGAAGCACTTAGTCAAGGATTTTAACCACTTCATCACCTGTTACGTGTGTAAAGGATACCTGATCAAGCCCACTACCGTGACCGAGTGCCTGCACACCTGTGAGTGCCTTGCCTTGACACATATGGTTCATTAAAGCTCCAGTCTGGGACAGCTAGGACTGTGCCACTAATGCCCTGAATTTAGCTCTGAGAATGCTAATGGATGAAGAGAGAAACATTTCGTATTGTGTAGTCTTCTGCTGCTGTTGTTGTGACAGGCCTGTGCAATACATGGTTTTTTTTGCTTTGTCTCTAAGGACGCTTCTTATGAAATACATAGTTATAAACCAAGAGTGGAACAATTTTGTGGAATGGATAGCCTTTTACTGAGGATGGTCGTAGAAAGCAGCTGACACCTTTTGTGTTCTACAGCAGAGATTGCTAGAGATACACAATAGCAAGTTTTCTTTTCCGATAGCAATGCAGATACCTAAAGGTTTATACCGATACCCGATGCTGGTCCTAACCTTTCCTAAGCAAAACCTAACTTAGGGTTCTCCTCACGTAAACCTTATCCTTTGCCAAAGTAGTGTAAAACTTTCTTACATACCCCTTGCTAAACACAGAGGTTCTTCCTGTGTGATACTGTTACAAACTTCTTACCTGCAGCTTTTCTGCATAGATGATGATAGATAAATGATAGGTGATTTGATTATCTGAGATAGGCCCTTATGAGATATTATATTATATATAAATAACACACACATTTTCTAAGCCGCTAATCCTTCTGGGTCGCGGGGGGAGCTGGAGACTATCCCAGCGATCATTGGGCGGCGGGAAGGCAGGAAACACCCTGGATAGGTCGCCAGTCTTGTGTATTTAAATGTATTTTAAAAATTCTATATTTAAAAAAATTATGCATGCAAACTCCACACAAAAAGTGTGGTTGCCCAGGTGGGGAATTGAACCCAGGCCACCATGATTTAAATAATGTGATATACATTTTATATAGAAATATATACTCAGAAATATATCAAACTGATATTTGACGATGTATTTATTTTATGTTGTATTGTATTAATTGTAAAACATGCTTTGAGAGGAAAACTCCATAAATGCATATGCAGTGAGACAAAAGTGCAAAAGCATAGAGACCACGAATTTGATCTTATTATCAGTCACTTTTTACTTCAGAATCAGATCAGTTTTTTTTTTTCCTTCGATATTCAGTCCATCCTGTTTGCTAATGTTGGCCCAGTGCTGACAGTGGGTATTGGATCTGCACCACCTCTAACAATTATGATCATAAGATTTGAATACGAGATTGGACAGAAAAGTAATCGGATCCCTCAGTAGGTGTTCACTGATAGTAAATATTTATTCATGATTTTGAGATTGGTGTATGTACTGTTTAGTAGCATGTAAGTGGCAGGTATGTATGTGTTTGATGGAGTGGAATGGGAAAGGTGAAAGCTCGCTCTCAGAAATGACACATCTCCAGTCATCAGGGTGATCACAAGTCATCTGCAGCCTTAGTCACCATGACAACAAATATCCTCCTCCTTGAATGAGCTTTTTTGTGTTCAAATCATTTGTTTGTAGGAGTCAGTTGCTTATCTTTCAACAAACTCGAATGGAAGAAAACATCAAGCCTTCTGTTTTACCATGTCTTTGATCAGAAGATTTGCTTTAGCTAAGTTTCAATACAGAGTGTACTGATATGAATGAGTGGAGCTAATCCTCTAGTGTCGCTGTCATCATTTGTATGTAACTTGTTATTGCTTAGCTGATACGCTTGCCGTGAATACCAGTGTTTCGTGCAGACATCAGTGCTCAGTTGTAACACTGACTTCTTATCATGGACGAATGGACATGACAGTAGGGCCCTGAATGGTCATGCATGATGTATAGGTCAGTCCCCTAGCATACAGCCAGGCAGTTATGCACACATTGCAATTTGCTCAAGGGGCTAATTTGCCCTATATCTTACCCCGTCTCCCAGACCATTCTATATATTGCTGACCTGATTGTGTCTGGTGCTGTTTTGACATCACTGAGATTGCTCTCAAAGAGAAGTCAGTGCTTTTTACAATATTTAACTTACAGTTCTATAATAGTAGCTTCATTACTCTATTCTAGACAGTATTAATGAAGATGTTAATGTGTGGGTCCTAACTATGTCAAAAATTCCCTGGTTTTGTAGGACAGTCATTGGATTCCAAGTGATTTTGGAGCATTTCTATTGGTCCATTCATTATGAAAATTTGACACAATTGACAGACAACTGAAGTGTTCAAGTGGTGTAAAAACTAAATTGACAAAAATGGAGATACAGTTTTTGTATGTGTGAAGAGTTTCATTCCAAAATGCTTTATATAATGAGTTTTTGAAAAGAATAGCTGACATATAATGCAAAAACCATTATTTCTCTATAAAGCGGATAATCATAAAATAGCATTAATATTTGTGTAAAGCCAACAACAATGTATGAAAAATGTCATGAATAAATAAAATATTGAGAGCTGTCTGTAATGCATTTTGCAGCGAAACTCTTCATATGCGCATGTGTATATGAATGTATGTGTATATAATGCAAGTGGGACATGTGTGACCCCCTGTTCAGATATTGTATAAAACAGTGTGTGTGTGTGTGTGTGTGTTTGTGTGTGTGTGTGTGTGCGAACAGCGAGGTAGTCGTGCAGTGCTGCGGTTGGCTGGAGGAATATGATAGGTGCAGCTTTGGCCAGGCTGGGCCCGGTGAAGCCTTTATCTCCCTGCCAGGCCACAGGCTCCGTTTCACTTTTCCCTCACTTTCCCTCACGCCCTCACCACAGCAGATATGCAGATTTCAGCCTTACAGCTGCAGATACACTGCAATTTCATACCCCTGTAAAACTCAAACAGGAAGTATAGGCGATCACAGCAGATGGCCTTGATAGCCAAATGCAGTTTTGCAGATGTTCAGATGCTGATAAAACCAAGATTTGCCCAGAAGATGTGTTGCTCAAGTTTCTCCCAGAAAGCTGGATGAATGCTCCATATAATTGCATGTAATGCTTTTGTTTCTGTCTATTAATAAATGGTTAATCAGAAGGATAAAACTTGTGTTGTCAACCATGTTTATTTATGAATATTAGACAATGTTTTGTAGCTAAGTTTCAAATCTCCCCTCTCTCTGTTTTTTATAGTTTGCAAAAGTTGCATCGTCCAACATTTTGAAGACAGCAATGAGTGTCCCAAGTGTGGTATCCAGGTCCATGAAACAAACCCCCTGGAAATGTTAAGGTAAGACTATTGCACTTATCACATATTAGTTAGAAAGAAGTGATTAAAGACTTTTCTTTTGAGTGTGATAAGATAATTAACCCCTTAAAATCTCACTCTTATTACATACTAAGACTTGTTATTCAGTACAGGGACTTCAGTGCAAACTAGGTGAACTATTCTTAGGTTATAGAAGTGTGTAATAAAACCTCTATAAGATAGATGTGTTGCTTTCTAAAAAGTATAATTAAAGGGCTCAGGTTTTCTCTCATCTGTATGTATCAAAAACAGTCATAATTCATTTTTCTTAACCATTTTCCAAACTCTCTTTGTCCCTTCGATTTAACTAGGCTGTTTTTGATACTGTGGTATTAAGACTGCAATACATGTAAATGAGCTCTGTTCTAATTGGCTGCCTTATATTGCTCTTTATTCAAAAAGCAGTCCTGCCTAAAGTGCTGTATGTAAGTTCAATGTGAATGAGTGGGGCTACACCATAGTCTGAATAGTCTGAATGGATATAATGTAAATGTAAAACAAGAGATTCTGAATGGGCTGTTTTTGGAAGCTTAGTTTCAATATAGCAATTTTATGGACTGGAGAGAAAAAAAACAAGGAAAACTTAGTTTCCCATGATATGAGTCTTTTATGAATATTAAAGAGTTTCCCACCTGAGAACTTTTGTCCATTGAATTATTACAAGAAATTCTAAATTTTAGCATAACACTCCACTCCAAAGCCAAGTGTATTTGATCGACTGGTTTGTTGTTGAGCTGTGATTGTATTTTCAACACTGTCTTATTATTCTGGGATGGCCCTTCACTTTTTATAATAATTAATTTAATATTTTTTACATAAATCTGAAATATTTTTCTTGTGCAAAATAGTAAAAACAAAACAATATATAGAAAAGCTCATGTCAATAAGGCTTTCTCACTGTAGCCCCATAGGCCCAGCAAAAATGATGCTAAATTCTGCAAAGATTTTTATTTGCCAGCTTTTTGTTCAGAGTTTCCATTCAACCTTAAATGGAGCAGCAGTTATATTCTAGCACCTGTACAGGCACTTGAATGTAAATGCTGCACCATTTAAGGTGAAACAGGATTTTTAAATAAGAAGACAACTTTAGCTTTGTTAAATGTATCTAGTCATTTGTCTCATACGTGCATCCCATATGCTTGCCCCTCTGACCATCAGACACTGCTGGAATTTGAAAAATATTACAGTCCTTCACATTATCAATACTAGCTGGTCCGTGGCTTTTTGCTCGCACTGGGCCGTAAGAAGATGGCCTGGTCTGGTGCAACTGACTAAGTCAGGCGGCACAATAGGAAAACACCCTGGTTGTCCATGTTAGGCTAATGCTAACCCCAAAAGACCGGTAATTCTTCTTTCTCTGCTGCCTTGAAAACGTGAACTGCTTCTTATGCAACAGACTAGACAGCAGGAAGTGATTGAGAGACTACTGTGCTTTCATTATCATTTAAAACATGACCGAAACATCCTTGGCTCAGCCTTTTGGTCAAACAGGCTAACGCTAGCTTGGTTTGCACTGCTTGTACATCACATTATCTGTGCTTAATTGAGGCATACTGGTGTAAAGGTTATGATCAAACTCATAAAGGATTTCAATTGGTATACAATATGAACTGGTTTACCGCCCACTAGTAATTAGCACTATGTGCATTATGGTGAAAATGGAGTGGATTAAGCTTCAGGCCAAAGTTTCAGTAACACTATTTACTCCTGCTTCACTCATAGGCACCTCTCAGGTCAGGAAAACAGTGAATTTGTGAACAGTTGGTGAAGATTTCCACTGGTTAACAGAGATCAGTGCTGAAGTTGAGTCCTGTGGCTGCAGTTGTATGGCACTGAGCGGGGCAGAGTGGGGGATGCAGTTAATTTGATCTTGGCAGGGATGTGTTCCAGCCAGCAGCTGGACTGCTGAGTGTAGCTCTGGTCTCAGCTGTGAACCCTCACCAACCCTGCCGCCCTGCTCTCACACACGCACAGGTGCTGCTTGCTCTGCCACCGGCCAGAGAGTAAACGAACGTACAGTGGCTGCAATAGCCGCAAAACCGCAACTTCTGTATTTAGGGTGAGCTCAGCAAAAGTGGGACATCATGTAAAGTGGGAAGAATAAGTTTCATGCTACTTTGGTCTTTGGGTCACTGGAGCCAATATACAGTCATATGCAAAAGTTTGAACACCCCTATTAAATTTATACATTTCTATGTGAAAATAAGTTAACACATCCTGTACAGGGAACACACTTAAACATGACATTTTTCTGTGTTAACATTTTGAAAACTAAAACATAGACTATAAAGTGTGTCATAACTTTAGCATTAACCACAGTTTATGTTTTATTTTTTCCAATATGTTAAATTGAGCAAACTGTATATGTGCGTTAACATGTGTAGGAGTGTGTGACAAAACGTAATTTGACCAGGGATGTCCAAACTTTTGCATACATCTGTATCTATCACAAATAATTATCCCAAGGGTGCTTATCATTTAGCATTTTTTAGGGGCCTGGAATCACTGATGTGGGCATGATTGTAATCTGAAATCATTCTGATTCCCCTAAACACTTGGCTAGTGCTCTGACAAATCAGAATACTTTTATGATACATAAGGAGGTATGAGAGAAGGAATCAAATAGAAGAATGTCCCAATTTTGCTGAACATGCTAGGTAAAGTGAGATCCAGTTTTCAAGCAAAGTTGGACACTTTCTAAAGCCATTTTTATATATTAGGATAATTTATCGCATATTTAAGAGCTAACGTCGTGTCCACTATGACATGTAAAACTTACTGAGGTGTTTAAACCAGGAAAATTAATAACAAGTCTAATTGTGTGTGTATACAGGTAATAATATTAGGCTACTAATGCTCAGCTCCTTTTTGGTGCTTCTGTGTGGCATGTGTAGAGAAGCCTGCAGGCGCTAAGTGTAGATCATCCTTTTTAGGTGTACAGGCTATGTATTACTAAGCTATCGTGTAGAATCATGTTGCGTATAGACGTAATTCAACATAACTAAGTGGCTCTTAAACCAGAAGAGGCAAAGAAAAGGAAGAGAGGACAGAGAGAGAGAAAAGGTAGGGACCAGAACTTTTTCAGGTTAGACCCAGTGATTTTATTGAGGTGGCAAACTAGTAAAAAAATTAAAAATAAAATAAAATAAATAAATAAATAAATAAAAACTTAAAGGGCAGTTAGTACCATTCATCTGTGCATATATTAGACCTAGGTTATTAAAATAAACTTATAATGATGCACTTTTTAGTTTACTTTATATAATTATGTTCATAATTTTCGCATGAATAAAATATTATGTAAACACCATTCCTCCCCAATATAGTCGAGGCCAGTTCCACCTGCTAGCTAGGTCTCCCCTTGGCTGGGAGGGTGAAGGCTTTCTCATGCTTCCTCCGAGACATTTGAAGCACCACCACATCTTTTCAAGCTGCTGCTAGCGCAGTATCACTGGACAGCTCAACATGCTTGAAGGAGCTTGTTAACCGCTAATTCTGTTACATTAGTTAACAGACCTTCACATTGGCTAGAATCGCACTGAGTGATGGGGAGGGCCATCATGCCTCTCTTGGACTCCAGGCCACGGATGGCTGTGGCACCACCAGGGATCGAACTTGCGATCTTCCATTGACAGGGACAATTAAGAAACAAGTAAGGAAGTAAAAGATAAAACTTTTTCAGTGTAATGTTTTTTATTAATGTGAAAATGATATATGGATCTAAATCAAGTCAAAATAATGACATCATTTTTCAGTGCACAGCATTATTACTCATTTTCATTATTTTCTTTTACCTATTATAGTTTTTGGGATAGGTTTACTATGAACTGACAGAGAAAGAATGCTGTTGATTTTTTCTGTTCAGATATTTTGAATTACTTTTTTCTCCTATTTTCTTCAGTTCTGTTTGAGGTGGGTGGGACTAAATTTGGTTCAGATCTGCCAAAGTACCAGTCAGAGTTAGCAATATGTCTGTCAGCTACTCACCATAGTGCCAGACAGAACTCCCAGCAAGTAAATGTTAGCAGTGCTTTTTTTTGAAGGTTTATTACACCATGTTTGTAGTGTAGGTAGACGCTGTTTCTTATTTGCGTAAGCCACCTGTTGCAGGATCCTACTATGAGCGATTAACTTAACTTCGACTTTAACTAGAGGAATAAAATGATATGTTAGCTTAGTATTATGTTAGCTACCCCCAACATGAAGACTTACAGTGTTTCCCCATAATTGCACATTACAGATGTGGAACACACAAGACATTTCTCCACAGTGTCCACAAATTGACCATGTCGACTCATAACAGGAGCTTGTGTGACCTCAGTTTCAAAAGTGCAGTCCTGCAGTCAGCTAGCTAGCTACAGGTTATGGATATAATATTAGTGCTGCTGAGTGTTTGAATACCAAATGTGATACGTCAGTGATCTAACTTTCATAAAATGAAAGTCTGAGTTCTCCAACATTATCTGTAACATGTAATTAAATCTCTAAAATAACCAATAGACAGGTTGTTTTGCATTTTGCACTTTTTACTCGCAACAGGTTCCTGCAGGGAGGGCTCTAGAGCTGTCCCTAGCATTGTTAGTGGTGTTGCGCTCACCTGCATCCTGGTTGTTTATGTTGCCAGGGAGATGCCACTATCAAGCATTATATGTTCTGACATGCCCACAGAGTTCTGAGCAGGCAGCAGTTTATGTCCTATTAAATTTTTATTATTTGTATTTCGCTGCTGCGGAAGAAAACCTTGTATCTCCATTTTTGTCATTTTTTTAGTTTTTGACATAGTTTGAAAATGCCTGTTGCCCTTTACATTGTATGTAAATTCCATGATGAATGGACCAAAAGAAATGGCCCAAAATGACTTTCAAGAAAGTCTGGTTTCATTGACTTGCATTAAAAGTAAAGTAGGTTTTTTCCTTCTCCTGTAAAGTTACCATTTTGAAGATATGAGGTTTTCTTCTGACAACAGCAATACATTTCTTGAA